CCATCACTACTAGGGTGGAGGCCATCGCTACTAGGTTGGAGGCCATCACTACTAGGTTGGAGGCCATCGCTAGTAGGTTCGAGGCCATCGCTACTAGTAGAGTAACAAGAAGCTTCCTTGGGAAGCCTCAGGAAAAAACTACAAGACGTCAAGCGTTTGAAACCACCCAACGGCAAACGCAAGGGGTCGCCTTTGTCACCGCAAATGCATGGAAGTATATCGTCTCCCTCGGCCACATGACATGCATCAGTGAACTCAGACTTCAGGAACCGGCCTACTAGCGTGTTTTGTCTATTCATGCCAACCTAGTAGCGAACATAATGTAATTAGCCATGGCCTCAAACCTAAGAGTCAACCTACTAGCGTCAGTGACTCAAGGGAAGAGGACCCCGAAATTAGATTCCTTTGAACTCCCCGCTCAGTTGCACAAGGTCTCAGAAGGACAAGTTGCCACGACGAGGGGGCTCTCTTATGCTCTTAAGTCTTAATCTCTCTTGCTGAAACAAGCTGAAAGATTCTGAGGCATGCTTTATTCCTCAAGCTGGTGAAACATGCTTCCCTCTGGGTGACCCCTGGCGGCATGATCACCGCGAAGCCGGCCCCCAACATCCAAAGCCTTGGCTGTTGCACAATGGTCAAGGGCAAGCAGGTGAGAGGTTTGGGGATGAAGATGCTGATAAGCCTAAGCACATGTTTGATTCACGGTGCTTCTACATTGTTGCATCTGCTCTTTAAAGCACGAGAAAGTACATCTTGAAGATTGTTAGAGGACACTGTTGTCCTCAGAGGAGAGTCTAAATGGCTTGCCAGTGCTGTCCAGAACAAATTGGCTCATCAGCGCAAGTCTGAGTGCCCCGTGCTCCACTTCACTCTGTCCAGATGGCACTGGTGGGTGCCTGCAGGACACGCCAAACCACTGATCTGGTGTCTAGAATCAGAAACCAAACTGACATGGATCGGCTTCATTTCCTTCAGGAAGCAGCACCCTGTTTTGTCTATTATGTGTCGCATGCTGAGTATCCGAAATGAGCCGAGTGAATCCGAGTCTCTACCGACTAAGCCGAGCGCCGAATGAGAAAGCAGCTGAGAGAACTGGATGAAGACTCCTCTCAAGTTCTGGCTGAAGAATGAGTGGGCAGTGGGGCAAAGGTCCATTTCCAAAACAAACATCCAACGCCAAAAGAGCCTACTAGTAGTGATGCCCTTGTCCCTATTCCGAAACAAACCATCCAACCCCTTTTGGAACTTGACCAAGCTGTCTCATACTGATGCTATCATACCAGCCTCAATGCGACAAGTCTGGTCACCGATATGCAACACCTCAAAGGCGAAGGTTGTAGATGTAGCGTCCTTGCTCCTAGTAAGGCCAGGAGCCCCTAGTAGCGTCCTTGCTCCTAGTAGCGAGGCCAGGAGCCCCTAGTAGCGTCCTTGCTACTAGTGCCATTGTAAGTATAGAAGTGTAAGTGTTCAAGTGTAAGTATAGCAGTGTACATGTTCAAGTGATTTTCCGGAAGAACCCTTCGCAATGCTTTCGGGAAAAACAATGCAATCTGTCTTTCTGAGCTTGAGACCAAGTGTTTCACAGTTGGACATGGAGCAAAGGCATGGGATCCTTGATCGGAAAGGATGTGTTCACAACCTGTTGCTTTCTGAGCATCCAATCGGTTCCAAAGTGTCTAGGTGTCCAAGGCAGGTGGTGAAATCAAGATAAATAAGCTCCAGACGCGACACACTTGGAAATCCGAAGCCCTTCACGTGCACCATGCCACCTTGGTTCTTCCACACGTTTGAGCATTCAGCTTAATGTCTAAATACTAGGGGCTCCTGGCCTTACTACTAGGAGCAAGAACGCTACTAGTAACAAAGGGCATCGCTGCTAGGAGCAAGAACGCTACAACTAGAAGCTACTAGAGCGACTGGGCATCCTGAAATGCCGGGCAGCTGATCGCTGCCGAACGTGATGGTGAGATGCTGGTGACCACAGGAGTCATGGAGCTGCTGTAATTGAAGAGGAAGTCTGTGGCCTGGCAAAGCGATGTGCGAAACCGAACTCTTTGTCTTTCTTTAACCCAGGAGCCCCTAGTAGCGTCTTGTTCCTAGCAGCTACTTGCTCCTAGTAGCGATGCCAGGAGCCCCTAGTAGCATCCTTGCTCTTTGTCTTTAACCAGAGTCTAAACATTGAATTGGACATGGCTTTTTAATGAACTCCAACCTAATAGCCATGGCCTCCAACCTAATTATTTGGACATGGCCAAGAATTCCCTGCCGAAGCGTCGAACAATTTGAGGTTCGGTCTATCGGGCGCAGCAATTGGACTTTTTTTTGCTCGATCGGCATCCCTCACCAAAGCCTGCGAAGCCTTGCAGCCGGTGATACTATCGCTCAGCAGTGTTCAACGAAGCTGCATAATCGATGTACTCATCCATTGAGATCGTCCCGGACAAGTCTTTATCCACGTCGAGAAAGAATTGATGCAGTTCTTTGGCGTCCAACTCGCCCTTAAACTGTGCACGGACCTCTTGCGCATCAATCTGGTTGTCTTTGTTCAAATCAAAATCCAGGAAATCTTGTTTGAATTCAGCCACCAAGACA